CAGGGGTTCGGCCATTTTTAAAACGTGAATGCCACACAAAAGTTTGTGCACGACCCATTGCGGACTCCCCAAATGCTTGCTTTAGCATTTCATAGGTTTCCGTAGCCGTTTTGGCGAGTCTTTGGCAAGAGATTCAGGCAGAATCGCAGATGGTGCTTGACAGGCTGACAAAGAAAGATTTCCAGGGATGCTTCCACGCTTGGCAGCGGCGCTGGGATCGTTGTGTTCACTCCCAGGGGAACTACTTCGAGGGTGATGGATGAATTTAATGCCTGAGATAAGTGTACGGGTTTTTATATGCGCAGTCTTGAAACCTTCCGATCGCACCTCGTATAATATTAAGACATAATAGGAAAATAGTTTATGAGGGCACTGCATCATGTTCAGTGGCGGGACTTGGTTATGTTCACCCTTTTGGTTCTCTTGCCAAAGACAGTTAATGGATCTAATAACAATATTTAGGGCGCAATGAAAGCACGCTTCTTAATAGGGAATCGATCACATAACTTGAGAGTTTTTCAATAGAGAAGATGAAAAATTCAATGATGCCTCGTGTTTAATCAGGTCCTTGAATTTATTCATCTTCTTCATACTGTGTATGTGGACTTAAAAATGTGTCACTTGTTAGGAACCGCATTAATAGAGCAATACTGACATGTATATACCGTACATTGCATAATCATTCTAACTGATTCTTAGAAGTCGTAAATTATATTCCGTTTCGCGTGTGGATTTATTTAAATTAACCCATAACATCGTAAATGGAGGTGATTATCTGTGGCTGTAGAACGCAGGATTTAGCAGCTGTTTTATTTGAAAAGTTTCAATTTTTATGAGTGAAAACAGTCAGATTACCCTCTATAGGAACGCAAAGGCTTTAGGTGATGTCACAGGTAATGACGTTCATACTTCGCACCACTCTTTGACCGTTATTTCTGACACACAGCAGTAAACAAGGTTGAAAAGGTGTACAGTGCGTTTCTAATTTATGTAATACAGTCGTGCAATATGTTATTAAATCACCATTATTTCTAAACCTGTGTTATGGAAATGTACGTAACATAAAACAGTTCTGTGTTTCGTGTCTGCAAGGTCTGTTTGATTTTCTTTTAATTTTACTCAAAATTTATGCAAAACATTTGTATTAGTACATTTTGTCCCTGAGAAAATTTATTACATCCAGACTGACATAAGCGTTCATTACGAATTGTTGTCAAATGCACCCAAAACAGGGGTATATGGACATCTACTTTAAAGTAATATGCATACAAATTTTTACAATTTAATACATGATATAGCCTTGTTATTGTATATTATCATATATATTTGATTCTTTGTATTCTGCGTGATAGTGTCCTGATAACGATATGATGTCCACTAACCGTATTTGTACTCATTTATGGATTTGAGGTAAAATTTGGAAGTAAGAACGCGGGTGAAAAGTTGTTTGGCGACTTTAGTTTTAGATCGGGTTGACCGATAAGAGCGTAAATGCGTTTGGCGTAAGTTATATCTGCTTATGTTACTGAACATTCAGGTGATGAATTTAAATAACTTTAAATACACACTGCCAAACCATTAGTTCTAGAACAAAGGTTTAATTTAAATGTAAATTGTAGTTGAGAACTCGATACGTTGTAAATCTCCAGTATCGATTTAATTACAGTTGAACTACTCCAAGCAGGTGGCACAGTGTTGCGTAATCTTATAGTTTCTCTTCGGAACGAGAAAGAATTATCTCACCAATGGGAAAAATCAATTATTCTTCTTCTTGAAAACGGAAATCAGTAATTTCCTAGAACAATTCTTTCGTCAACTTCATATGGTATTTTGCTGAAACGTCTTACACTATTAGGTGATAAAACTGGTTATCATGCATATGTGGGTCAAATTAATCATACCTTTCGGAGCCACAAATACGTTATTAGAGAAATAATGTAATGGATCAGTGCATTATATTTTTATACATTTATAGATATTAGTAAATTTGGTGAGAAACACTATGTAAGATTTTAATTCGGACCCAACAACTTTTAGAGTTAATTAACTTGTGTGTAGACCAACGTGAGTTGACTAGTAGAGTTTCCTTTGTCGTTTGTCGTCTACTAAACGGGGTGCTCTATGTTCAATGCTCTTTAATTTCACTCTGAAGTATAACATCAGGAAAGTTGAAGAGAATGAGAGACGTGTGCAACTGAATGGATTAAATAAGATACCAGGATTTTAGTTTATTAGTTAAACAAGAAAGTACAAAAGATTCAGTTGGAAGTAATTATTGTCTTTTTTTAATAAGATTTTCAGGAGAGAGTGGACATTGTGTGCGCTTTCGTCGCTGTTAAGTATTATCCTCATTGACTTCAGTTCCTCAACTGGGTGTTCGCCTTGCGCTAGCTTTCCTTTGACTTTCATTCAAATGTTCTGGTTCAGTTGTCCTGTACATTCACCACAGAGCTCTCCTTGTATTACTAGGCATCTCTATCCAGCCAACTCCGCTGTACACAGTCGTCCTTATTCTGTTGGGAATTATTCAGCGGTTCATAAATCCCTCTTCGTTATGTTATTTACAAGTTTATCACCGTTATTACACCATCACGTCCTTCGCCATTCCAATTCTGTTCTCACCTTCATTCCAAATAAAAGTGATGTTTGTGGAGTTTCCTTTGTTAAACCAGAGAATGTGCACAATATTCATATATAAACTGTTCAAAATATTGACGTAAAATATTACTTCTAATGTCGAAAGCTTATCACATTTATTATTCTGATATGGCAGCTGCTAATCACTGCTTTGTCACGGTTCATATGTTGGCTCCTCGCATAGGGAATAAGGCTGAAATTAGATTATTATACAACTGCAAAGTCCATGTACTTAAAGCTAATGACAGCATTGCACGCCAACAGTTTACATTTTCAGACACCTCGGGCGCACATGTTCGCTAGCTAACATCTTCAAAGAGCTGTAGACTAAACGCTGTGTTCCGCAACCGTCACGTCAGAACAAGTTGTTTGTATTTCTATTCTTTTACCGATATTCGAGTAGGCACACTGATCACAAAACAAACAGGAATCTGTCCGTGTCAATTTTACTGAATAAACAAATCCATTTCGTGGGAGGATTGGGTAAGGGAGGGGATTCAAGAGTTTCTCTCCTTCTGTATGCTGTACGTCGTAGCTTCGAATTTGTCCTCAGTGTGAGCCAGTTCTACGAACGTTGTACAGAAATGTGGTTGTTTCTTTACAAGTAGCGGAATTATTTGTATCTGTCACAAAAATAAGATTGACCATTATGAACGTAAAGTTTAGATAATCACGATTCGTCCTCGTGGAAGTCATTTGAGTGGCAGACTGCACAGGAGCTGAAAGGAAGCCGTCGTATGTGAATATCCAAAATGGCAGTGGCTGGAAATAATCGCCAGAAATTCGACGCATCCGATCATTCCAGGTCAGTTAAGGAATTAGTTAATCTCTAGTTCAAAAACGCTTAGACAGACGCACTCGTCTCTTGCTCTACGGATTTTATGCTCTCAGCCGTAATTTGGAATAACAATAGAGAATAGAATCAAATGAACGCCAATATTCCATTCGGTTATTCAAAAGTCTGCTGAAAATTTTCTTGTTCTTTATTCGGGCTTTACTCAAAATTATGTGCGCTGTAGTAATATAATTACTTCATGGCATGTATCATACACGTGTTTACTGCTTGTCAGTTTAGCCAAGGTTTTAAAATGTATGAAGATGGCTGCCTTCTGGCTTGTTGCACCGTATAGTCTGGTAGACGCTTACCGAAGTTTGAGAGATATTTGCTGCCTACACCATTACAGCTTTGACCAGTAAACTACTGTTAGAACTCAGAAGACAACCATATTCATACTCGCCGCCATGATAAACTTAAATCTTGCTAAATTAAAATGTATATATGTCCACCGCTTGTATTTCGAATTAATTGTGTACGTCCTTATTTAATAAACAGTGTAACTAATAACGACACTGCAGCCTCTTAAATGGCAGGCTCAACTACAAGAAACTAACACTGGATATATACGAGGTGCGATCGGAAAGTTTCCAGACTGCGCCTATAAAAACCCGTACACTTATCTCAGGTATTAAATTCATCCATCACCCTCGAAGTAGTTCCCCTGGGAGTGAACACAACGATCCCAGCGCCGCTGCCAAGCCTGGAAGCATCCCTGGAAATCTTTCTTTGTCAGCCTATCAAGCACCATCTGCGATTCTGCCTGAATCTCTCCTATCGTCTCAAATCTCCTTCCCTTGAATTTTCATCTTTCGGAAGAGGAAGAAGTCACACGGAGCTTAAAAAGGAAGTTGGGGTCGGTTCTTGCAAGATCTTTGAGCTCCTGACAAACGAGAAGTCGATTCTGCTTCTGGTCCTCAGACAGGAGCCTTGCGTCGCATGTGGAGTTCTTCCTTTAGAATCAGCTAACAGGTCCCATAGCCTATCCCAACAATGTCGCACAAGTCGTTGATGGTACGACGTCGATCTTCGTAACATTTTCGGGCGTTGTGCTCGAAGATGGTCGTCCAGAACGCTCGTCATCATCGACAGAGGTTCGGCCATTTTTAAAACGTGAATGCCACACAAAAGTTTGTGCACGACCCATTGCGGACTCCCCAAATGCTTGCTTTAGCATTTCATAGGTTTCCGTAGCCGTTTAGGCGAGTCTTTGGCAA